AGTGTAAGGTATACGGTAAGCATTCGGTACTTTGGTATTATCCCATACCTCGGTACTGTTTCTAATGTTAAATATGCCATATAGTCTTTACTTCTGTGTAATACTTAAACTTCAGGATCCACAAGCGATGCATTTCGTCATTTTATTTGTAACACTATCTCCAATCTAACAATCTTACACTTGCGGAAGTGGAGTCACTGTGTCAAAATGCATTCACATGCGCCATTTTTGGCTCCTTTTGGCGTGGTTCTGTGAAGTTATTGATTTTTTGGCTATAACAGTTTTTAAAAAGCGCACTATCGTTATGACAGTGTCACAGTGGTGTGACTGAAGCGGGGGCAACGTTTGGTCACTTTACTCTGTGAGTGTGAATAATTCAGTGTGTTTTAGCGCTCAAGTACAGCAGTAAAGTGAGATTTAACCTCTGTTACGCAGCATCTTTACGCCGGCTGCTGAGTGAAACTATACAAAATCATGTGTAATGTGGAAACTTCTTCATTTTCATAGTCAAATGTATTTATATAGTCCTTATAATACACATTGTTTCAGAGCAGCTTTACAGAAAATCACGATGTTGATGTATATTTTAAAATCTTCATGCCTTATAGTTGCATTTAGCAGATAAGAGCTGTGCAATAATATACTTTACAATTTGCAACGATATAAATAATTAAAGAGTTGATGTTTGTTATATAGTATATTAATATAACCTAATGCAAATATACTCACATATCCAACTTTATATAAAGAAATAATTGATAATGTACAAAAATGGAGGTACTGGATGTACTATATATCCAATGTACCAGTAAATGATGTTTAATTATATATGAATGCTTATGTTAAGTATCTTATACTACCTATACAGTATCTGCAATATTATGTACAGTCAACAAAAGTAACAAAAATGGTTAATGGTGATTGATTATTGTTAAGAATAAATGTCATTATATTTTTTTATGCTGTATTGCATTTATTATTTGTTCTTATAAAACGGATAGTTCTGGTCCTTGATTCTGATTGGTTGAGCCGCGTTCGAAGCTGTTGTAAATTACTCTACAATCATACACCTTTGTTTACTTCTGTGTGTTGCTCGGCAACCACTTTGTTGTAACACAACTGTTTCTGAGGAACTACATTGTTTGGTGGACGAATACTGTTTTTATTAATATCATTACACTTTACTTGCTCTGTTTTATTCTGTGAAACCTTACTACGTATATGGAATAACCGTAACACAAGCAATAAGCCCCGTGAAGCCGTGGTTTACAGTGAATTTATAACAGCTAAGGGTGTTTTAGACAACGCCCCTAGCTGTTATAAATTCACTGTAAACAACGGCTTCTTGGGGCTTATTGCTTTAATTTACTTCCATTGAATGGTTTTATTATATTGCTGATTTATAAAAGTAATAGGCCACTTGAGATTTGATATATATCTCACCATGCACTGAATGATTTAACAAACATTTACCACAATATTTACATGCATTCAAAGAATGCCATGGTTCATTGTGTCTAACACTTCATGAAGATCAGACTTTTTACATGCTGTGCATCGATAATGGATCAAACATTGCTGGTTTTTCATGCTGACGGTTGATCGATCGGGGTGTGCCCCTGCGTCCCAATGTGCATACTATCCACCCTATCTGCCCTAAATAGTATTGAAAATTACTAATATCACATAGAATTTAGGATGGATAGTATGCACATTGGGATGCAGGCTGTGTGTGTGTGTGTGTGTGTGTGTGTGTGTGTTACGGTTCCACACACTAATGAGGGTGTGTTTTCCCGCAGGCTCAATCTCCGGGAGCTCGGGCCACTCGCCGCTCACATGCGCTGGTTTGTGTGGCTGATGGCGGCCGCCGGGACCATCTATGTGTTCAACTACCACGAGAAGTATGTTTGACTTCACCACAATGTCTTATGATGTCAGGGGATGCCAGATACATTGTATCTTAATTATGCAAAATTGATAATAGACACGCAAAGTGTTAAATTATATGTTGCTGAATGTACAATTAGACTGGTTGTGATTATTGGTAGAGTAACCACAAGTATTTTGCAAGTCCCAGTCACGTACAGTACAGTGAGGACACATACAGTTAAATACATAAAATTAATAAAATATTCATTAAATATTACAATAATGAATTTTATTATTTATAAATTATTATTGTTCAAATTAGGGGCAAGATTGATAATTAGCATTTATTTTTTTTGTTGAATATACAACTTGGCCGGTTGTGATTTATTTAAGGTAGCCACAATTATTTTGCATTTTATAGTCCCAATCACATACAGCCACCCAAGTGAGCACATATGCATTTTAAATAAATAAAATGGTAAATATTATAATGTTATGATTTGTATCATTTATAAATTATTAATATAATCATAAATTATTATTATTATTATTTATATAACAATAATAATAGCAATTATTATTAAATAAAATATTTACAAAATACTTTAAAGTGTTATTTGCAATATTGGTTTACACATCCTTCAAGAAAATCTATAAAGAATATACAAAACTATATAAAAATAAATAGCATTTGTATTTCAAAGTTTATTGCAAATAAATTATTTCTTAAATTGTGTGGGGATTAAGCACAACAGAATGGGTAATTAAACATGCACAAAATAGACAATAAAATAAATGAACAATATTTACCTGTAGAAATTCCCCTGAAGTGAGAGAGATGCTTAATTGTCATGATTTATTTGTATTGGTGGGTGATGTTAAAGCGTGTGTTTGTGCAGGTATAAGTTAGTGGAGCTGGCGTTCTACCTGACCATGGGCTTCTTTCCTGCGCTGGTGGTGACATCAATGGTGAGTCTATGAGCTCAACTTAATCTGATCTATGTGCTTCTAAAGGTCAAGTACTAATTAGCAGACCCCTAATTAACCTGACCATTTAAAGCTGGTGTAGGAGGAGTCATTGCAGAGGACGGAGAATGGATTGTAGACAGGGTTCCCACGCTTCTTGAAAGTACTTGAATATCAGTCGCATGGATTCAAGGCCTGAAAAGTACTTGAAAACAAATATAAGTCCTTGAAAGTGCTTGAATTAAATTTGAAATACATTTTGTTTAGTAGAATGTGCTATTTCAAAAATTGTCCTATATGCGCTGTCAAAGACAATAAGAAACTGCGCTAATGATTGGGGGTTGAGATAGGGTAGCGCGAGAAAAAAAACTTAGCGTGTGAGCTGATGCGCAGCCCTGCATGAACCTATGGAGAAGCAGTGCATTTGCGAATGAAAATTACTGCGTGCAACTTTGAAAAAAAATATTTAGGAGCACCAGTGCGACTGAAAATCTGGACAGGGATTGCTTGTTTGTTTTAAAATAAAAAAGTTCTATTTTTGGCAAATATAAAAGCCTTTTCACACCAAAAGTGAAATGAATAAGCCTCAGGCTGAAGGGAAAGTAAATTTACGTCCGTACAGTAGAATGCAGAAGAAGACATTTCAACACACTTCAGCAATAAAAAACACAAATGTTTGTCTAGAGTAATTTTGGCTTGTTAGTATGGTTGAACTGGATCATCGAAGGTCAAAAGCAAAGACATTGGTTAATAGAATAGGATTAAATACATAAAGGATATTTGTGTTGTTTAACATTTAATTATTGGAGGTTTGCGTCATATTCTGAGTTGCATTATTTTTATTCATTTTGAGGAATACTGAATCTGTGTTTTTTTTTTTTGTGAGTGAGATGAATTAATGCATGTTCATATTTATTTTAGAACAACAGTAACATCTTCTGATTTCTCTCAACATGGGGACAGGAGAGCTGTCAATCAATAAATTAAAAACTTGCATTACTTATTTGAAAAAGTAACTCAGATATTGTCTTGTAAATTAAAAAGTAATGCGTTACTTTACTAGTTACTTGAAAAAAAGTATTCTGATTACGTAACTCGCATTACTTGTAATGCATAACCCCCAACACTGAACAAATCTGAATCAATTACCCATTCATAAAGCCAGTCACTTGCTTCATTCCTGAATGAATTAGTCGTTTGAACGAATCAATTGAATGAATGATTCAGTGATAAACTCAATGATTTGCCGCTACCTACTGGCAGTTTTACTTTCATTTTTAAAGGATCTTTTCTGTTATTTAATTCGTTTAATATTTCTATATTCAAAATGTTATATTTAAAATATTAACCTCAGCATGATAAATTCATGCTGAGATTAATATTTTAAATATAAA